ACCTGAGTACTTTTTAGTCATGTTTTGATGCGAAAATTGAGTTGTAGCTAGCCCTTGTAGCTAGCACTTATAGCCAGTATTCAATTTTTACGTTCGCAGTATTCCCCTTGTATTCTAGCCGACTAAAACTCGGCAACCACTGCTTTCCAAAGACTCAGGGAAATCTGCTTCTAAACTCGAGGGATGATTTTCAAAATTCCATAGAAAACTTTGAGCGCTCACAACTTTTGACAGAGTGCTGCGTTCCAAAAATCGAAAGCAGATTCGGAATCAGCGTGAAATTCTAGGTCCAATGGTGTATGGCTGATATCATTTGGCCACCACAACCGGTCGACCTTCTCTTGACACTGCCAACCTCTCCTTTTTCTTTAAACGTGGGAAAAGGGAAGCACCTTGTACCGGGCAGGTTTGCCAGAAAGTGAGCGATTACGCGACCGCACAAAGAACACCTCGTTAGTTATTTGCATAAAGATTTCTCTTGTTTTTTGGTTCTTGGGGATTTGGGTATAGTGAGACCCTAAAAAGAAGAACGTTCAATCGCTTACGGCTCCAAAAAGGAAGCCCTTATATGCTACACGGGTCTTCCAGAATGTAAGCGATTACTCAGCCGCACAAAGACCACCACGCCAATTATTTACATAAAGATTTCTCTTGATTTTTAGTTGATACAAAAAAGATATTCAGCTATAAATTTGCATCCTGGATCGGGGAATTGTAAGTTTTCTTTTTTAACCTTTACTTGAACCTACTTTTACCTACTTTTCTTCTCAACTTTTAGCTCAACTCATTGCTTTCATTTGCTCAATGTTAGAAAATATTTCCAAATTGTAAAGTAGCAAATTTTTCCAACTCTTCCCCATAATCCCTCAATCAAACATCGAAAAAAATCAAGAAATTAATCGCTAAGCAAACCGAAATCAATTAAAACGAAGAGATCGAAGAGATCAAATCAGAAATTCCAAATAAACTAACCATTTGTTTGAATGTGAAGCGCTGAGGTGAACATATTGGCACGAGAGAGTTTCTTCGGCGCCGAGCTCAGTCTCGGTGTCAATGGTTCTTTTCCGAAATACGTGAATGAGGGCTTAGCTGAATAAACTGCAGACTGGCTGATGTCGACAATTCTAGCGGACTCCAAATGATCACAAGATCTGCTTAGACTCTTTTTTTGTAATCTTGGTAGAAGTTGTGGAGTTTGGAAATCTCTTTGAGTTCCCGGTATCAATGAAAACCAATTCTTTCTTGGTTTTAGCGTTGGAGTTTGATTCTGAGACTGATTCTGATTCTGATTCTGAGCCATTGGAATCTCAGAATTTGTTCGAATCAATGGCGGACTTGAGATCAATCTTGTTAAAGTTGAGACAGAGCTTGCCGGTCGTAAACGAGACAAAGTCGGGTTTTTGAGGCTTGGATTTATCGAATGATTTCTCGGGATCATTGGTGATCGAATGAAAATTGATGACTCAAAGTGTTTCCCGGGTGAATGCAGCTTGTTCAGTGGTAGTCTGAATATAGAATCCCTCCGTAAAGGGATGGGCCTTTCCATCGCTAGATTCCCAAGCAATGTCCGGTCCCACTTCCTGTGATAATTGTTGTCCCGAGATCTCAAAGCTTTCCTCGCAAAATCACTCAAGACACTCCACAATAACGCCCGAACACCAATTTCTCTTTCTTTTCCTTTCTTTTCCTTTCTTTTCCTTTCTTTTCCTTTCTTTTCCTTTCTTTTCTTTCACTTTCTTGAAAAAATCTTGTCAAACTGCCTTTATCGACAATCGACAGTGCAAATCGACAAAATAGGGCTTCTCTAATCAGAGAATTCTTCTTTTTCGAGCTTGATTTAAGCACAAAAGGTGAAAATAAGTACGTGAGAAATGATTGAGTTTAGGCAAAGGTGGATCTTTAACAACTGATAGAATAATAATTAAATAATAACTGGCAGCTGACAGCTAGATCACTGAATAACTGAAGATCAGCCAGGTAATTGAATAAGAACTGGCAGCTAATAGCTAGATAGCAGAATAACTGAATATCAGCCAGATAACTGAATAATAACTGGCAGCTATCAGCTAAAGAACTGAATATCAGCCAGATAACTGAATAATAACTGGCAGCTATTAGCTAAAGAACTGAATATCAGCCAGGTAACTGAATAATAACTGGGAGCTATCAGCTAGATAGCAGAATAACTGAAGATCAGCCAGGTAACTGAATAATAGCTGGCAGCTTACAGCTAGATAACTGAATAACCGAATACCAGCCAGGTAACTGAATACTAACTGACAGCTATCAGCTAGATCACTGAATAACTTTTCTTAATAACAATATTAGCAAATAGTGAAAGAATAGCCACTCCAAATGAGGCAAATTGATACCCCAACAGAGCGAGTACTGGATCGAATATCAAACTAGGGAAAAACGATGATACAAAAAGCGAAATCCTTTGCTTTTTCTTTGCTTTTCCTTTCTTTTCCCTATTCTTCAAGAGATTTATGGCAAAACCATAAAAATTCTTCAATCAGAAACGAGAATTCAATTAGTTTGACACAAAAGTTTTGAAAATTTCTCGGAAAATAGATTCCTCTGGTCAGAGTAGTATCATTTTTTTTTTGGTTTACTTATCTGAGAAAAAAAAAGAGAAAATTCGTGATCGGCTTTGCCGAAGTTTGTCGAAAGGATCGCCGAGAATTCTCTATTTCTCTTTTTTGTTCCCTTTTTCTTTTCGTTTTGAGAGTTCATTAGTTATCGTTTTTTTCCTGAGAGGATAGATTTAGATAGAGTTTTTGAGGTAAGAGTAAGTGAATGAAGGTTTTGGGAAATTTTTCTTGTTGGTTGCATGGTTCTTGATGCTGTTTTAAAAGAACTAGTACAAATGAATGGCAAATGAGGTAAGTAAAATAACTAGCTAGCTAGTACTAGTACAATAGCTAGCTAGTACTAGTACAATAGCTAGCTAGCACTAGTAAAATAGCTAGCTAGTACTAGTAAAATGGCTAGCTAGTACTAGTACAATAGCTAGCGAGTACTAGTACAATAGCTAGCTAGTACTGGTACAATAACTAGCTAGTACTAGTACAATAGCTAGCTAGTACTAGTACAATTTTGGGATCTATCTTATTTCTATTTTATTCCCAATAGTTCAAAAGGACTCTATTATGTTTTGATTCGTCTAAATTAGTGTTGTCGACAGAAATAGAGTGAACTTTGTAGCCAAAAATGGAAACGTATCCACTTTAATGGACTTAATTGATCAATCAACAATCTCCCTTGATAAATTGACATGCAAATTCTCATTCAATTGCAATTTGAAAATGGCAAAGTCAGTAGTATTGGCCAAATACTAGACATGGGAAAATTTCAACCCGAACCTAATTCCACCTTCGTTTTCTCAGCTGTCTCTTGCCTGATTGCTCTGAAATTTTGTCTACAAGAAGAGAATACCAATTTCTATTTGTAAACAAAATTTCAGAACAATCGACCAAGAGATGGCTGAGAAAATGAAGCTGGAATTAGGTTCGGGTTGAAATTTTTCCATGTCTACCATATACTAGACCAATCATTGATCTGGCAATCAAGTTCACTACTTCGTTACAGGATAAGTTTGAAAATGATCAGAATAAAGAATTGAAGAAATTTGAGATTCTTGTTTTGTTATTTCTCATGTAAAACCTATTCGTTTCTTGAAGAGACTTGAAGAATTGAGAGTTTGTTTCAAGTTTAAACAAAAACAAACAAAAAAAAACAAAAACAAACAACAACAAAACAACAATTCTTTTAACTATAAAACTCTATAAAAAGCAAGCCAATATTATGCACAAACCTGCATAAAAATTCAGCCTAGCAATCGCTTTCATTTTGAGAATATAGAGTTGCAAATGAATGGCAAATGAATGGCAAATGAATGGCAAATGAATGGCAAATGAATGGCAAATGAATGGCAAATGAATGGCAAATGAATGGCAAATGAATGGCAAATGAATGGCAAATGAATGGCAAATGAATGGCAAATGAATGGCAAATGAATGGCAAATGAATGGCAAATGAATGGCAAATGAAGTAAGTACAATAGCTAGCTATTTTGAGATCTATCTTATCTCTATTTTCACAACAATACGCATTTTAACAAACTCAAATACTACATGATGTCATAGAGCAAAACAAAAATGACAGGAATAGGTGATTTGTGAAATGTTTTGCTGAAAAGTTGAGTTAGCAAAAGTTGTGTGAAAAGTGATACCACTCCCACAATGTCAACAAGTCGAGTTTCCATTGTTTGAGGGTATTTGTGAGGAAAAATCGGTCGAAGGGCAATGACAACAAATAGCTTAAAAGAGAATTCCGCTTTTGGCACAAGTTGTGAAAATGTTTTGCACAAGTGGAACGAAAAAAATCAGTCACCAAAGTGCATTCTTTGAGAGAATGCACTTTGTAACCAGCATTCTTTGTAACCAGAATTGTTTCTATAAGCCTGAAAGCCTTTTAGGAAAAGCCTAAAAGAAAAGCCTAAGCTTGGGACCTTTTCCTGGGCTGTTCGGATCTCGGACTAACCTAAAATGGAACCCAAACTGGTTTAGAGAACGAATTGTAGAAACTTGAACACTACCAAACAAGAAAACGGTATTGGCTTATAATACTATATAATATAAAAGGAAATAATACTAAAAAAGTGTTTGAAACCGTACTTTTCGTAGCTCGAGATTTATATGGTTGGCATACAGTCAAAAATTGTATAACCATTAAAATTTGGCTTTTACAAGTTTAGGCTACACTTTAGGAAATCGGTAGAAGGGCAATGACAACAAATAGTTTAAAAGAGAATTTCGTTTAAAAGAGAATTCGGTTTAATAGAGAGAATTCTGTCTAAAAGAGAATTCGGTTTAATAGAGAAAGAGAATTTCGTTTAAAAGAGAAGGAGAATTCCGTTTAAAAGAGAAAGAGAATTCCGTTTTTGGCACAAATTGTGAAATGTTTTGCACAAGTGGAACGAAAAAAATCAGTCACTAACTTTTCTTCCTCGAGAGTCGCAGCGTGGAGATCGAGAACTTCCGAGACAACTCTGGAACACAATCGGTGACGAGACGATCATCGTCCTGAAATCGGTGAAATACTGTAGGTTTGGTTTTGGATTTCGACAGAGATTTCTTTCTTCTTTTCTTTCTATTTAATTTCTATTTAATTTCTACTTAATTTCTGTTTAAATTCTATTTAATTTCTATTGAATTTCTATTTATTAGGTTGATGCAAAAGTCTTTTTCATTTTTTTCGTACTTCTTTTGAAAAATAACAAAGTCATCAATTAACCTATGGTTTGCTCTAAATGAAAAGTGTTTATTGTTGAATTTCCCATCTTTTTAAGTCAATTTGGGTTCACTTTCAAGCAAATTCGAGAGTGAAAACGGGTTTTTCATAAAAATCTATAAAAACCTCTATAAAGAAATTGGCTGAATCAATTTCTCTGAAAATCTGAAAAAATATCTAACTTTTTGTGCTCTATCTTTTATTTATTAACATCAAGATTGGTTTCCTTAGCTAAAGCGTCTAAAATGCATCATCGAGCCGTCGCCTTTTTTTGACTACCCGACTTCAGGCTCTCAAAAAATCTAGACATAAGACATTTTAAACTCGTTTTAATGTCATTTTGCAGAAAAATAATTGGCCTTTCGAATGCAATAAACCGTTGTTCAATTGGTGCATTTGTTACTTTTTAACGGAAGTACGAAAAAAATGAAAAAGACTTTTGCATCAACCTAATAATTTCTATTTAACTTCTATTTAAACTGGTGTTGAAACTCTTTTAGAAAACCTATTTTACGGGTACTCTTTTAGAAAACCTATTATTTATGGGAACTTTTTAGCCAGCTCTCAAAAGATGAGCTCGTTTAGCTCTCACAAAATTGGTTTATGCAAAAAAATCGTCAAGAAACTCGTCAAGAAACACGTCAAGAAATAAGAAAGAAACTCAACTTTCTAGATTCTTTCTACAATTTACTAAATTTGATATTCTAAAAATCGATTTATAAGAACTTTATCACCAAATTTCATCAAAAGAAGTCAAATCCCAGTTATTCTTGTTTAACGATGAGAAAGTCTTCACTATTTAACAAATCAAAACAAACAATTTAAATCTACAGCTCATTGAAAATGCTAGAACCACATTTCAGTTCTTTCAAGGGTTCAGTTTTGATTCTTTCAAGAAAGTTTAATGGGAGTTTGTGACAAACTCAATTTATGCGCTTTCCTCAGGTGTTTCTAGACAAGCAACAACACAAAAGACAATCATTTAGAAAAAAGTAACTTAATGTTGTTCACATTTGGCGTATTGATAAGTGTGTTTCCTTTTATGCCAAGGAAAATGTCATTCTTAAAATTTTTTTATTAAAAATATTCAATTTACGAAGCTTTTTTGAGCCTTTAGTATTAAAGAAAGCTTTAATTTGGGCTTTGATTTGATTTAAGAGCTTACCTTGAGCGATGTCATTCTGCTCAACGTGTTGAACATTCTCTGAGCACGGCTCATTGTACCAGTGTTCTCTAGGGGTCCTTGTCGCTCCTGTAATTGAGTATGTACAATTGTAATTGAGTATGTACAATTGTAATTGAGTCTGTACAATTGTAATTGAGCATGTACAATTGTAATTGAGTCTGTACAATTGTAATTGAGTATGTGCAATTGTAATTGAGTCTGTACAATTGTAAATGAGCATGTACAATTGTAATTGAGTATGTACAATTGTAATTGAGCTTGTACAATTGTAATTGAGTATGTACAATTGTAATTGAGTATGTACAATTGTAATTGAGTATGTACAATTGTAATTGAGTATGTACAATTGTAATTGAGTGTGTACAATTGTAATTGAGTATGTACAATTGTAATTGAGTATGTACAATTGTAATTGAGTATGTACAATTGTAATTGTAACAAATACAATTGTAGATTAAAGTACTGTTATTCCTTTGTACAATTGTACTTTGTACTTTGTACAATTATTCCTTTGTCAATTGTAAAGGCAAATTGTACAAAGAACTAAATAACCTGTGATCTCCAGTGCTTCATGAACTTGCTCGCTCCACCGTCGAGTCTCGTTTTTGGAACGTCTCTGGCGAGGGTGTGAGCTTGCTAAAATTTCAGTAAATTACAATTAAGATGTAAATTTTATATTTTCCTATTTAATATCATCAGATTAAGCTCTCTACCTGCTCATTTTTATAACAAATGAGTGAATAATCATCTCCTCTTCCCACACAATACCCTCGATTCCATCGCTCGTAGTCTCCATTTTGACCAGCCGGTCTTGGCATTTGAGATGGGTGAGAGTCTGAAAAATTCATTGTCTTTGTCATTGAAAAAAAGTGTCAAAGAATACTTTCTGATTTCTAGGTTAATTCATAGCTCATAACATAAAGCATGAGTCAAATAATCAACTTTGAAACGGTTTTAAAAGCTGGCAAAAATGAAGAAGGAAAACGGTAGCAAAAAGGTAAACAAATTACGGTTTTCAAACTTAATATGTTGGCTTAAGAATTTGGAATCTGATTACACTTTCAAAAGAGACCAAAAGAGATCAAATTTAGCAAGAAATTAGGTTAGGTTAGGTCTAAGAAACCATCTAGACCAGCTAGAAACCATCTAGACCAGCTAGAAGCCAGTCAGCTCCTGTCTTCTTGTCTAATCTGAAGATCTAAAGACCTATCCCAGCTCGGATTCTTTACAAGACCAGAAAAACTGATTTCTGCTATATTTCAGCTCTTTGTAGACGACAATTAATGACAAAACGACTAAAGAATCGCTGACAAAAAGTTTCGAGGAGTTATTAGGCTGTTCAGAAAGCCTTTTCGTTTCTTTTCGTACTTCCGTTTGAAAAATAACAAATTCATCAATAATCTATGGTTTGCTCTAAATAAAAAGTATTTCTTCTTATAAATAAACATTTTTATTGTTTAATTTCGATCTTTTTAAGTCAATTTTGATTCACTTTCAAGCAAATTGGATGGTGAAAACGTGTTTTTCATAAAAGATATAGAAAAACCTCTACCAAGAAATTGGCTGAATCAATTTCTTTGAAAATTTGGCTATATATCTAACCTTTTATGCTCTATCTTTTATCTATTGACACCAAAATAGGTTTCCCTAGCTAAAGTGTGCCTTTTCTAACGCTAAAGTGGCTAGCATCATCCAGCCGTCGCTCTTTTTGACTACCCGATTTTTGGTCCCCAAAAAACCCAGACATAAGACATTTCAAACCCGTTTTAATGTTATTTTGCAGAAAAATGATTGAGCTTTCTAATGCAATAAACTGTAGTTCAATTAGTGCATTTGTTAGCTTTAAACGGAAGTATGAAAAGAAACGAAAAGATTTTCTGACCAGAAATCACCCATTCTTTTTTTCTAGGCTCAGATTTCTGTTATTTGTAAAGCAAAACGGTTAATTTCTTTTTTAAATGAAAATTCACATCATTTTCTGTATATATTCATAATTTCAGGACGATAGCATCAATAGATAATTTTTTATGAACGTTCAAAAATGGCCGGTCAAAAATTAGCCGGATTTCACATTTCGGGTTTTCATTATCAATGATTTTATAGATTTAATAGCTATTCTCAACCGCATTTAATAGTTATTCTAAAACAAATCTATTTAAACATAACAAAAACTTAGGTTTTAGAAAAAAAACTGCGAAGAAAAAATGATTTTGTGCGGTTTTTTTCTTCAAAAATCCTAAATTTGATCGTTTTTTTGATCAGCTATTTTTGAATGTTCATAAAAAATTATCTATCGATGCTATCGTTCTGAAAACTTGAATATATACAGAAAATGATGTGAATTTTCATTTAAAAAAGAAATTAACCGTTTTGCTTTACAAATAACAGAAATCTGAGCCTAGAAAAAAAAAGGATGGGTGATTTCTGGTCAGAAAATCTTTTCGTTTCTTTTCATACTTCCGTTTAAAGCCAACAAATGCACTAATTGAACTACGGTTTATTGCATTAGAAAGCTCAATCATTTTTCTGCAAAATAACATTAAAACGGGTTTAAAATGTCTTATGTCTGGGTTTTTTTGGGGACCAAAATTCGGGTAGTCAAAAAGAGCGACGACCGAATGATGCTAGCCACTTTAGCGTTAGAAAAGACACACTTTAGCTAAGGAAACCTATCTTCGTGCCAATAGATAAAAGATCGAGCATAAAAAGTTAGATATATAGCCAAATTTTCAAAGAAATTGATTCAGCCAATTTCTTCGTAGAGGTTTTTCTATATCTTTTATAAAAAACACGTTTTCACTCTCGAATTTGCTTGAAAGTGAATCAAAATTGACTTAAAAAGACCGAAATTAAATAACAGAAATCTGAGCCTAGAACGAACGATTAGGATGGGTTATTTCTGGTCACCTTGTATTAAAGGTTCTAAAAGCGGTGTGTCTTTCAATTTGAATCGAGAATCATCACTCTAACTGGCCGTCTCGATCATTGAAGAATATCAAAAGAAATGGGTAATTGGGGAAGAGGAAAAAGAGGAAATGGGCAAGAAGGGGAATATCGCCCTAAGCGCTGAAAAGGGGGGCGCTAAGCGGTCGCCACAATAAACAAACAGCGGCACCTCACTCACTCATTCTGTCTCCATCAAGAAAAAGAAATGAAAGTCTTTCATGCACCCATACCAAGCAATAATAATTAGAGGTGAAACTCGAGGTTTTGAGTTGATTTGATCAAGCTTATTAACACTAAACTTGGCCAATCACATCCCTTATCCGCTCTTTAAGTTTGAGTTGATTTGACCAAGCTTATTAACCAAGATTTGATCAAGGTTATCAATACTAAACTTGGCCAATCACATCCCTTGTCCATTCTTTCATTCAAATCAGACCTTGTACGCTTAAAAAAATACTATTTCAAAGCTATTTTCAAGCTTTAAATAAAGTAAATGATGTAAAATTAAGGCTAGAGTGGGTTTAGACTTAAACTGAAAACTGGAGACCTTAACTTGTTAAGACTCTGAACAAAAAACCGATCGTTTATCGAAAATTGTCAAAATGTTAAGTTTAGTAAAAGCTTTAGGCTTTTTTATAAAGAAAAACCAACTAATGTTTTATTATAAAGGGAAATCAACTAATGCGGACCAACTTTTTAGCCATTTTCTATTGATCAAATCGTATTTAGTAAATTCAGTGTACATCATGAAGACTTAGTGAAAAAAAGAGTACGATAGATATCGGTAGCACGTCTTAGAGAAGTTTAAAAGAGAAACATTCTAGCGAACATTCTAGTGAACATTTCTAGTGAACATTCTAGTGAACATTCTAGTGAACATTCTAGTGAACATTTCTAGTGAACATTCTAGTGAACATTCTAGCGAACATTCTAGTGATCATTCTAGCGAACATTCTAGTGAGCATTCTAGTGAACATTCTAGTGAGCATTCTAGTGAGCATTCTAGCGGACATTCTAGTGAACATTCCAGTGAACATTCTAGTGATCATTCTAGCGAACATTCTAGTGAGCATTCTAGCGAACATTCTAGTGAGCATTCTAGCGAACATTCTAGTGAGCATTCTAGTGAACATAAGGTCTTCAATGAACAAACATAAACGACTTTAGAACGAACACAAACGACTTTAGAACGAACATAAACGACAAATGATTTGAGCAAATTTTGATAGCCTTGATTTTGATAATCTCAAAAGAAAAATAATTTTTCTTTAAAACTATGCTTTATATAGTCAGATTGCTTTTGAAATTAATGATTTTGAGAGCCTTAAACATTGTTAACATTTTAAAATTTGGCTTTTACAAGTTTAGGCTACACTTTAGGCTTTTACAAGTTTTATTATAAAGAAAAATCAACTAATGCGGATGAACTTTTTAGCCATTTTCTATTGATTAAATCGTATTTAGTAAAAAAGGGAAATGTAAGGGGAAATGTATGAAGCAGAATGTTGTGTCTGAAAGGAATTCCTGTCATTTGTAACACATTGATGATAAATCATAGATGAGTATCTGAGAAAAGCATTAGAAATGAGTCACGGCTCACCGAGAAGGGCAATCGAATTAGATCAAGCGAATTATTCGTTGAACTTTTGACCTTGAACTTCTGTGAGAAAGTCGGGAGACAATCGGACAAGAGCTACGTAATCATTTGGATCTGATTTTTCATTAAAATTCTGTTATGGTAAGAATATTTTGAACTCTTATAGCTTTATTTTATTCAAATTGACCTTATCGACCTTAAATAAGCTCGATTAGGTCAGTTTTAAACAACAAATTTCCGAAGTTGGGGTTGATCAGTTGATTGATTGATCAGTCGGTTGACTTACTTTGTTCAGCTCAATGAAAACAAGTAGACCTATGCAGAACAATACCGTAGCAAAACAATAACAATACAATAGCAATGCGTACATTACCGTACTGTCATTTGCGCACAGCTGCCTGCGCACGTCTTTTGCGCACAACAAGCCCCACCCACTAACTTCAAGCGCCGCTCTTTCAGCTAATAGTTGCATCAAATGGCCCACATGGCCTTGATTGAGCCCCATTTTGTACAGCATTTTGCACTTGCCTATGTCCATTTACTGTAAAAATTTCAGTTTGATAGCTTCACTACAAAAATAAATTTGGGAAAGCCATTGTTTGCTTTTTTTGCGCAAAAGACTTTCTTTCCAACCTAATAGTATGAAGAAAAATCTCGTTTCAAACACGAATCACATAGCGTTTCAATAAGCCAATGGTAGTGTCTTTTAGAGGAAATCTTTGCCTTTAAGATCGACTATATGGAATGATCCAAAAAGTTTAAATCAGAGAGTTTTCAGAGGTTATCTGACCTTTGATTTCAGCCTGCTTTTTGCTACATTGACAATCTAACTTTAAATTCAAATATCTTGGCGCTGAGTTGCTCGATTGAAATAGTTTTGGTATTATTAGACTCGCCATGTCTTCATCTGTCGATTGACACAAAAATTATTTCAATCGGGTCAACGAGAAAGAAATAACAAGCAGAGAGAGACGACAGAGAGAAGAGAGAAATTGTTATTTAGTTGTTGCAATAATTTTGTAACATTCTTTAGTAAATGGACAAAAAAAAGGATAAATTCATTTTTTCCCCATCTGGATATGAGATTAAAGGAGATTTTTGGTGACGAAAGGGTAATGGAACACCGGATGAGTGACGTCGCCTCGGCTCTCTTTCCCAGTGAAAGATTTCTCGGCTGGATCGTGTGAAAAAGAATATGAGAGACTGGATGAGATGTGAATAGCTGGAAAAGAGACAATTGTCAACAAAAAAATAGGAAGTTATGCAATGGAATCATTTGATTCTCTGGAATC